GAGACAGGGTTTCTCTGTGTAGCTTTGTGCCTTTCCTGGAACTCACTTTGTAGACCAGGCTGGCCTCGAACTCACAGAGATCCGCCTGCCTCTGCCTCCCGAGTGCTGGGATTAAAGGCGTGCTCCACCACCGCCCGGCTCTGAGCTACATTCTTGACCCAACAAGTATTTCTTTCTATCCTGTCTGTCTGTCTGTCTACCTAGCTAGCTACCTACCTATGTATGTATGTGAGTCTGGATCTCAACTGTGTAAACCTGGCTGGCCTAGAACTTGCTATGTAGATCAGATTGGCTCCACACAATTTTAAATTGTGCTAATTAAATTAAAATGAGCTCCCTTAGTTGTACTAGTTACACTTTGAGTGCTTGTGGTTGGTCAGTGGCTATGGTTGCAGAAAGTTCTAACGAAGAACACTGGTCTAGAGCCTTTATGGAAAAGAGAAAAGATGAATAGGAGCAGAGTCAAGTTGTATTCCCAAATTCTTGGGCTCTTGCATTGCCCTGAGAATTAGGTAGGCCTGCTAGTGGGATGCTGAGAGACAATTCTCTGCTACAGCCCTCAGTGATACCACACAAGCTGATGCTCTCTCAATCTCTTTCTCTGAGATAGGGTCTTGCTATGTAGACCAAGCCCTTGAATTTACACAGATCCACCCTCCTGCCTCTGCTTGCTAAGTGCTAATATGAAAGGAGTATACCACCCTTCCTTGCCCAAGTTAGCTCATTTACTTGCCAAGCAAAGCAAGTATCTAGAAGTCCTGCCTTGTTGTATTTCCTTTGTCCCTTAAGAAAAAAAAAAAAGTGAAAAACTGTGTATGGGTGTGTGTTTACATGATGGGTGTGTACACCCATCATGTAAACAGAGGAAAACTCTCCTTCCAACTCAGGCCACCAGGCTTATAGGGCAAGTGCCTTTACCCATTGAGTACCTCGTTGACCTTTTTTTTTTCAAGGTATGTGTCACTGTGCCTGGCTCCTTTACCTCTCTTAAGACCTGTCATCCTTAAAGTCAGATAGTGTTTTCAAAAACCCCTTCCCAAAGCAGGACAAATTGGCTGACTCCTTGGCCAGATCTCAGCTTTCTGGGAATATGTTACAGTATGACTCAGTACACGCCTGCTTCTCCCCTAGGCTAGCTGAATAGTGCTTCCTGAGTCCAATATGGGTGTGGAAGGGGGGAGTGTTGGGGTCCAGGATGTGTGTGGAAAGAGATTATCCTGTGCCTGTCTTGGACCCAGAGGGAATACCTGTAAGCCTGGCTCACTCTTCTCTCAGTTTCCCTTTTCTGAATGCCCTGCCCAGCACTGTAACCCAGCAGGCCCTTAGAGTTGAGGAGGTATTCCCAAGGAGCCCGTGTCCCCTTCCTTAGGCTGGGGTAATAAGCAGTGCCACTTCACACCGAGGTTCAAATTCCTCCTGGTTTCTGTCCAACCTAGAGCTTCAGGTCACCAGTTTGCCTCCTTGTTGACTATAATTCTTGTTTTTGTTTTTGTTTCTTGAGACAGTGTTTCTCTGTGAAACAGTGTCCAGGCTGTCCTGGGATCTGCCTCTGAGTGCTGGGACTAAAGGCGGCGTGCACCACCAGTGCCTGGCAACTGTAATTCTTAGAAAAGGAAGTGATGCTGGAGACTGCCTATTAACTAGGGTTTACTTACCCTCATTTTCTGATTCCAGTTAGAGGTTTAGAGGTTTGGTCCTGCTTTTTTTCTGTTGTAGTGTTAATGCTGGTCATTCCCCCATCCTACTCCACCCCTTCTACTTATAAAATTGTGATCCTATTGTGAACTTTGTGTGTGTGTTATTTGACTTATTTGGGCTGGGGGATGCTTATTTGCTTGTTTGATTTTTTTTTTTTTTTTTTTTTGATTTTTCGAGACAGGGTTTCTCTGTGTAGCTTTGCGCCTTTCCTGGATCTCACTTGGTAGCCCAGGCTGGCCTCGAACTCACAGAGATCCGCCTGTCTCTGCCTCCCGATGCTTGTTTGATTCTTATGTTTGTTTGTTTTAAATGGGCTTGTCATACATGCTGGCAGGCATGTCCCACCATGCCCAATGTGAACTCAGTTTTGAGCCTCAAGTCATTTACTCAGACTCAGTCAATTTTAGCAGTAATTTCTCTTGATTAGACTAATTGGCTTTATTGAACACTGAGGTCGCTTACTTTTTTTTTTTTTTTTGTACTATAAATTAAATAGTAAGTGCTACAAGATTCCCAGCTGGGCGGTGGTGGTGCACACCTTTATTCCCAGCACTCGAGAGTCAGAGCCAGGAGGATCTCTGTGAGTTCGAGGCCAGCCTGGTCTACAGAGTGAGATCCAGGACAGGCACCAAAGCTACACAGAGAAACCCTGTCCCCCCCAAAAAAAAGAGTCTTTAAATTTTTTGATCACATCTTTCAGAGACAGGCAAGTCCTCTGCTCTGTTGCCTTTTCAATATACATGGCAGTGTGTGTAACCATTTATTGACATCTACATGACCAGCAGTGTTTCACACATAGCAGTTCACATTCACAAGTACCTATTCTGTACAGGAATTCTGTTTGAAGCCAATGAGTGCCTGATCCTGAAGACTGTATTATCTGCTTTGTTCTACCCTTCCTGTTCCATGGCCTTCTTACTGAATCTTCTCTTTCTTCCTCCATACAGGCCGATGAAGATCCCATTATGGGTTTCCACCAGATGTTTCTATTAAAGAACATCAACGATGCTTGGGTTTGCACCAATGACATGTTCAGGCTTGCCCTGCACAACTTCGGCTGACCTCTCCTGGCCAGACACTCATGCTGTTTCCTCCTCCCTCCTCTTCCCAATACTATCTCACTCCTCCAGATGCTCCAAATATCATACACAATCGAGCAGGGCCGAGGTGGGAGTGGTGCAGTGCGCTTCTGTCTCCACGGTGTTGTGCATGATGTTTGGATGCTAGACTAGTTGCATCTGACAGGAGAAGTTTGTGTTGTACCAGCGCATGCCTTGGAAAGACTTAAGTAATGCAAAAGATTGTCGGTTTTTGGTTTTGTTTTATTTTGTTTTTTAATCTACTGACAAGTTGCTCTAGTAACCCAAAGAAGTGAAGGAGAAAGCAGCTGCCTCACCGCCCAGATATTGATTTGTTCAGATGTTTCAATGCCTCATGATACAATAAAACCACAAACGTTTTCTTAACAGTTTAAATTGTTTTAATTAGTTAAATAGTTGTCTGGGCATCACAGTTCTGGCCAATTGTCTCTCATGTCCCCTTCCCATCTCTGCCTCACCTTAACATTACCTGCTGCAAGGAGCAAATTGGCTGAAGTTAGCATCCCAACTAAGTTTCTCTCAAGCTTGCTAGGGGCAGAGTTCTCTCCACCCCACTTGGTCTTTGGGAAGCAGGAAGAGCTGGAAGCAGATCTGGCCTGAAGCTTGTTCTGTACTGATGGCTCTTCAGTCGGTTCTGCCTGACACCTCCTGTGGCCTCTGCTCTGAGTGGGTTCAGGTCTAGTAGCAGGGTAGATGATTCTCCTGTAACAGCTAGAAAGGCCTTGATAAATATAGTTTCCCATGTTTAGACTGTGGGTTGAAGTACCAGATGGGGGGACCTGCTTTATTCCCCAAAGGGTCAGGATCATATTCAGAGTGCCCACATTGCCTAAGCAAAGCAAGAGATGCTGTACCACCTGCTTGGGATATCAGCCAGGCCCCATTGAGTTGGAGTATAAATTACACAATATGGAAGAAACCTGTGAAGGAGTCATGCTCTAGTTCTCCTGCAGGGCATTTATACACCACCTTACCTTCCACGCACCCCCATGCGCTCTTCAAATCCCAGGAAGTCTTAACTATTAGGGCAGTTTCCGCCCTGCTTAGTTTGGGCACAGGTCTTGCCCAGTACAAATCTAGCTTTTCATCCTTGAGACCTCTGGATATTATAAAGCTGGTATCAAAATAGCAACTGCAGGCTAGAACCAGGCCTAGGATTGGTCGGGCACACCTGAAAGCCCCCCCCCCCTCCGTCCTGCACTGTGGGGGGAGTGAATTTTTTCATGCTCCACGGGTTGCTTGGTTACACCAGCATAGTCCTGGACAGCACACAGGAGGTATCGGTGGGACTGATCTCTGAGCTGCTGTGTATTGGGGGAAGTAGGGGTGGGGGAGAGGTAGATACCACTGCCTCTTAATCCACCCTGTATAAAATCTGCAATACAGCTTCTTCCATGTACCTGTGCCTGAAATGTCTGCAATAAAGAGGTGTTTGTAAACAATGGTTTCTTTATTCCTAATTTGAAGTTGCCATGTGGGACAAAGGGATGCTGGGGACAGTCGGGACAATGCCACTAGTTTTTTTAGTAGTGACCATATTCCTGGGTCTTACTCCTAAGGGAACAGACTTCTACCAGTTCACCTTTTCAAGGTCTGAAAAGTCACTACCTGGGTGGTCGAGTTGATTCTGTTATTCAGAGTTCATCAGAATGAGCCAGGACCTGGGTTGGAGCTCCAGAGACAGCAGGGCTTTAGGCAACCCAGTGCTCCATGAGCACATTTGCTCTTTCTCAGTCGAGGGAAATTTCTCCACTGCTGGGCTATTCTGAAGCAAGCAGCCCTAGGAAGGCGAGCTTGGATAGGAACTAATTGGTCTCCCAGAGCTCGGAACCTTTCTTCTGCAGTCTTTGTAGGTTCCGGGAACGAAGGTCAGTAGGACCGGAAGTGGAGGCGGTTGGTGGGGTTGGCGGGGCTCACGGACGCAACCCGGGCGGCGGTTTGCGAACTGCGGGTAGATTTTGTGTAGTGCTCGGTCCCCTGCTGTCTGGCGGGGTCGGGGCTGGGCGAAATTGGACAGTGCACGGAGGTAAAGGAACTAACGTCGTGCGAGCAGGACTTTCGTGACTGGGCCCATGGCCTCCTGCGCAAGCATCGATATAGAGGACGCCACGCAGCATCTGCGGGACATCCTCAAGCTGGACCGGCCCGCGGGAGGTGAGCCGGGATGGAGTGGTGGGCTCTTGGCGAAGAGGCCGATATCTGGCGTAGATCTGAACGGTCCTCGGGTGCCGCATGTCCCTTTAGACAGGCTGTGAAGCCTCCCATTTGATTGCGGAGGACGGAGATTGAAGACATGGATGATCTCTGGGCATATTTAGAGAATGGCGCAGACCCCTGGGTGTTACCCCTTCCCATCCTGTGCCAGACCATTCTGCCTTGTCTTTAAGTATTTTGGCCGAAGGTATTGGCCGAAGGTAAGGCCCCTCCTCAGAAACAACCCAATCCTTCTGGCTTCCTTGCCTCCAAACTCCAGGGTTTGAGGACTGGCCCTGTGCCCCCCACTCGCTCTGGTTCAGAGGCCTGGTGCCGTGTCTGTTTAGCGAGTACTGGGCCCAGAGTCAAGCAATATACTGAAGAACCTCTGTTCCCTCTCTGCAACTTGCCTTTCCCCTTAAAATGTAGACTCCAGGCCTGATGTTGCTCTGAAACTGATTTTCTGACAAAAGGGGGACAACCCCAAATCTGTCCTCTTAGTAGATCGAAGGCAAATCACAGACTCTGTGGCTCTGATTATGTTAGGTTCCCCACATCTGCAAGCCCATATGTTCCCAATTCATCTGAGTTTTACTTGGGCTCCCAGTATCCCTTTTGGGGCTACTCTTGCTAGATAAGAGGTCCCAGGACAGAAAGCCGACAAAGTTGTCATATAGTGTTGTTGTTGTTGTGAAAAAGGTTTGTTATGGGGGTCGTGAGGGAGATAGAGGGCAGGTCTGAGAGGAGACTATTTAGGCTAGGTCAAATACTATAGACAGGAAATTGAATGCCAGGAAAAGTACTCAAGATACTTATAGAAAGCACATAAAGGAAATAGTGTGTATGAAAACTAGATGTTTGAAAGTTGTAGTGGTTGCCTGGTGATAGTGGTGTACATGTAGAGGCCATAATTAAGAACTGATTCTTTTCTCACACCTGTTATGCCTTCTGGGCTTACCCAGACTGCTAAAGCAGGCACTGGTGCCGAATCCAGTGGGTTTAGCTGATACACAGATAATCCATTTGCTGCCTGAGACCACTGGGTCTTTGCCTCGTGCCTGCAGTGTGTGCTCCCTTTATTCATGATGTGGTTTATGCCTCTGATGCCCACCATCAGCTGAGCAGACTATGCTCCATAGAGATCTGGTAGAGCCTGGCATAGTTAACTGTATAGACTAGGCCCATTGTTTATCCTTATGGTAGGTTACTTGGAAGGGAAAGTAGCCAACTTATCTCTGAGCAGCTAGAAGGGCTCTAGTCCTAGAGAAAGATAAAACGGTCTTTCCCTATAACTCTATTGTTTAGTGACTGGCATTTGATTTTTGTTGTTGTTGTTGTTATTTTGTTTTTCAAAACAGGATTTTTCTGTGTATCTGCGGCTGCTCTGCAATATGCTCTGTAGACCAGGCTGGCCTTGAACTCATAGAGATTCACTTGTCTCTGCCTCCCAACTGCTGGGAGTAAAGGCATGCACCATGACGCCTGGCTAATTCTTTTTTTTTTTCAAGTAGCTTTTGCTTGTCTCTTTTCATTAAAGGACCTAAGACTTGTCAGACCTAAGACTATTTCATGACTGAAACCTTGCTCTTTTCTTGACGCACTTTCTTACTAGCTTGGAGTTCACAAAGTGGTGTGTGAATTAATGGATTTTTGAGACTTAGCCAAAAGCCAGGCATGGTGGCATTCACTTAGACTCCCAGCACTTGGGAGGTAGAGGCAGGAGAATTGTCAGTTGAAAGCCACCTCAGGCTACATGTTGAGGCCCAATCTCAATAAAAAAAGAAGAGTAAATACATAAATGATTGGAGACATAGCTCAGTGGTAGAGCAATTATCTAGCATGTGCAAAGCCCTGAGTTTTGTCCCCAGCACCACCCCACCCCCCAAAAGTCTGGAAACCCACTTAGCATGTATGGGATGTCCAGGACTCAATCCCCAGCCCTAAGGAAGAGTGGGACCAGCCACTGCGAACATCTAAAATACTGTCATTCCTGATTCCACACTCCACCCCATGCCCATAGCTTCTCTCCTCTTTGTCCAGTTAGTTCCTCATGTGCCCTTCCTTCTGAGTTTACCTGTCTAGGTGGCTTGTTAACTAATTCAGTGTGTCAGGTCCCCTCTTTCCTTGAATTAGAAACCTTTCTCCACAAACTCTCCACTGTGTTTGTCAAAGTTCTGGTATCTCACGCAGATTCTCAGCTGTCTGTATGTTGTCTTGGAACAGTCTGGCTACAGCTGACTTTGTAAAATTTAAAACTCTTCTAGAACCAAGTGTGCTAGCATATACCTGTATTTCCAGCACTTAGGAGGCCGAAGCAAGAAGATCCCAACTTCAAGACTGTCTGAACTACACTGGAAGGCCCCATCCCGAAAAAGGGAGGGAGCAGTGAGCCTTTGTGGCTCTCATTGCACTGGGGGAGAGGCTGAGCACCCCAGCCTCAGCAGAGGCATTTGCAGCCTGTTTCCCCTCTGTCCTTCCCATGTTCTCTTTCTGGATTGTTGATTATTTGTTTGCTTTTGTTTTGTTTTGTTTTAGACCTTTTTAAGAATTTGATGTTTGTTCTGCCTGCATATATGTATGTGTACTACGTGTGGGCATGGGGCCTAAGGAGATCAGAAGAGGGTATCGCATCCCTTGGAATTGGAGTTACAGATAGATGTGAATCATCATGTGGGTGCTGAGAATGGAACCTGGCTCCTCTGCAAGAGCAACAACACAGAGCCATCTCCTACTTCCTTCTGTTTTGTCTTGAGACGGAATTGCATTGTGTAGTCTAGGCTGTCCCGAACTTCATCTGTCTCCCAGTGTGACCCTGAATTCACTGGCTTTCAGCTTCAGTCTCCCTGTGAGATTATAGCCACAGCACCTAGCATTTCCCATGTTTGTATGTTGTAAATACAATCACTGTGATGTCCCAACTATCTTCATACCCTCCTTTAAGTCATGTTTGTTTACTGTTCTTAGCCCAAGTATTAACTGGCCTAATTTTTTTTTTTTTTTTTTTTTTTTTTTTTTTTTTTTTTTTTTTTTTTGAGGGGAAGCGCGGGGCACGTGTTGAAGATCAAACTAAGGGCCTCACATATGTTAAACAAGTAGGCAAACATGCTACCACTGAGCTGTGCCTCTGGCCCGGTCAGAAGGTCTTTGCTGGTTTGTACCCCTCACACAGGTAGAA